AGAAGTCTATGGGTGCTTCCAATTTAACAGGCAGATTCGGATACAGAATTGTAGAGTGCTAGGAATCGCAAGAGAAACAACTGGCGGTATTGTTCTCTTCAAGAGGACAGATGCTACGCAACAGAGAAAAAGAAGAAGAACCGAGTGAGATGGACAGTTCCGAGGGCTTGTTATATGATCCATTGTTTCACAGCTTGTAAATATTTACAAACCCTGGCAGACGTAAAAGAATAACGGGGATGCCGTGGTCTAATTTTGTTTACCTGCATATACATACATATATGTAATACTTTGCATGTAACAATATTCACCTATTACCACGTTACACTGCAGAAAAGTTTCGCGACTCGATAAATACATTGGAATCTTTGTTTACTTAATTATCGTTGCGGTACTTGTGTCTTCAGATTTCCGTCTATATAATTCTACTTTGAAATTAACGTATCCTTGTTGCAGAATATAATCGCAACACAGAGGAACACCTGTATTGTTATTAATTGAGACTCAAATGTTCTCTAGTAAGGCCAAATTAATAAAACGCACAGGAAAAAACCCCATTGGGCGTTACGACTTTTTAAAGTTATTGGCCACTGAATACAAGACAACATCGTCTAAAGGTAAAAAAAATTAACACTGTTTATTACGCTTAAAAGATATGCCTCAATGAACTATATTGTGTTTCTTGAGGCATGTCTGGGGGGTCAATGCTGTATCTTGCAATGAAAGTGAGCAACTTTGTCGCTTTTTTAAGAGGGCAGTTAGAAAGAGACAAAGCTATTCACTTTTAGCATTTTCACTATAGCGTAAGATACAGATCTGGTCCTTTGGTAACAATAACAAATTGATGCGTTTTAAATTGTCTAGACGCTCGGGAACAGGTACTGGCAAACTTGGCAAACTTTGCCTATGACCCTGTAAACTACGGATACATAAGGCAGCTACGAGTAATCGATTTGTTTCTCAATGCTCTGTCCGAAAGCAACCCCAAGCTGGTGCGCTTTGGCATCGCCGGTCTCTGCAATTTATGTTTAGGTAAGCGTGGTACAGGTTAATCCCACGATATTCGTTGCATCACACGTAATGCTGTTCTTTCAGATGCAATAAATAAGACGTATATCCTGCGCAATAGAGGCGTCGAGTTAGTATCGTCGTTACTGTCTTCCGAAGACGAAGATGTTTTGCTGACAGTAATTACTACCTTGATGTTCTTGGTCACGCCTGAGTCGGTAACCGAGATAACGTCACCTGAAATAACCAGACGGATACTGGAACTCTCGGACACGTCGTATGAACATGTGCGCGTTAGAAACGTGGCGATCTTGTTCTTGGAAGACTATTGCAAAGCAAGCGTGAAGACGGCGGAGACTATTGCTAGTCCGTCGGAGAAGTGAATGAAGCTGATTTATCAAATGGTTACATTCTTCATTAAGAGTTAAACACTTCGTTCTATCGATATATATTTTAAACTAAGTACAAGAGAAACAACATCATGAAGCTGATCCAGTTCTTTGCTGGGTTTCTCAAAAACTATTCTGTAAGAACTTCGAAAATAAGATCGTTCGCTGATACAGCAGTGAACAATCTGAAGGAAGGAGACGAGGTATCGGTTTTAAAAGTGATAACGAATGACGATATACTGAAGTTTGCTGAATTAACGGGCGATCATAATCCGATACACACTGAGTCAGCAAGAAATATTGTGCACGGTGCTTTACTCAACAGCCTAGTGTCAGGCTTAATTGGTACAAAGCTACCTGGTGCAGGTACCATAGTTATCGAGCAAAATCTCACGTTTCCTAAACCGTGTTACGCCGGCGATACCGTATGGATTATGGTAAAAATTACATCAGTGAGAAAAATCATTAAATGTGTATACATGTGTGTCGCTAATGGAGATAGAGTCGTTCTCGAAGGAGAGGCAAAACTCATGAGAAAGTTATTGTAGTACTTCATTATTACATACTGTAAAAATATTTAATATATTTCTACGGTGTATAGATTTATGGGGATATTTAATAAAAACTTTATAAAACTTAAATTTTTTGTATACTTGGTCTCTTCGTAATTGTGGAAAATTGATGATGAAAGGAGAAAAAAAGAGATACTATTATTTTTTAATTTCTCTTTATAATCTGAATATGAACGGAACTTTAGTGAAAATTTGGCTACCGCCAATGCACGCGATAACATCGTAAATATGCAAACAATTAAAATGGGACTCTTACTACACCGAGGTTTTGATTAGTAAGCACTCCAGATGTAGCCCATGGCAGTATTGCGACACGATGTGACTTTAAAGATTTGAAGCATCGGCCTTACATTCGAGTTGAGTTTCGCGAGGTGATACAGTAAAGTTCGGCAGAAAGAAATCTGCAGTGAATATTAGTTAATTGAATTATTGACACATGATTACGGACATATCTCAGAAAAAGGTATATATTCGTTTTATTTTTTCAAGTATTTTGGAATCATTTAATATAAATTCATCCAATATATAAATGATATAAATAATAGAAGCGATTATACGGTCGGACTGCAGGCTAAGTGTCAATATTTTTGCATATACATCTTTTTTTCTATCACAGCAAATTGCGCGCCGATAATTTTCGGTCTTGAAACAGTCTTAAGCCCAATTAATTTATATTAAAAAATTTGTTAAGGCAAAAATTTGCCAGGTTATAATTACATTCAATTATGTATAACTATACACTAATTATATACATAATTAGATATAATTGTAAGTAATCAAATCGTTTTCTTTAACATTTTCTTTTTCATATTAATTTATAGAATTGTAAAGACTTATATAGAAATACACAATGTAAAAACTTGTATGGACATATTTGATATATAATTTTATATATTTATACATACTTATGTCTGAAAATTTTTTATTGGGCACTGAAGTCAAATAGTGTACATGATTAAAGTGATAATCAATTTAATAATATTCCTAGATAAGTTGACTAATACAGTTAAGACTGAATAGAAAGCAATGTTAATAACAGCAGTCATGTGCATTCCAGGTTAAAATGCATTTAACATTAATGACGGTGGCTCTTTGCATATCTTATTCCTATGCAGACAATAACAGTACTGTTGTTACAAGTATCAAGCCGCCCACAAATATGAAAGAACAGCCAATTGGTTGCATCTGTGCTGTATTCTTAAGCGGACAATTCAAGAGAGGCAGCAAGGAGCAACCTAAAGGATATCCCGCGCTCGTCCATGAACATCCTGATTCAGTTTCATGTAATGCCGTTGGGAACAAACTTTGCGTCAACAAATGTCTCGATGTCGTGAGTTTTCAAAATCTAATTCTCGTAGGGAACATCTTTTCTCAAACATCCTCACATGGACTCTTTGAGACTGAAATACTCGTTAATAACAAAGGATTAATTATATTTCACAGATAGTGAAACATTTACCGAAGAGCTCGTCAATTCTCTGTGCTTCTATAGATCGCGATTGTCACAAAGAAAGAGTAAGCACACACATACGCAAATTAATTTCTCTTATATCTTTATTTGCAATTCACAAAAACTTGATCGAAGCGGGCAATAAGAGCCGACATAGTTGTTAGGCGATCACACAGTGCATATATTTGAATTACAGATAAACAAAATAATTATAAATCGATAATAAGTCGGACGTTGCGGTCTACCAAAGTGACCCTTTTCAATGACTTGCAAAGCTACGTAAAATAAAAATTTATTTAGACATTGAAATCGCAGTTAATATACAAAGATTTATAACTTAATTAAATTTGGTCAAACTGTAAAACATAATTAATATAAGATGTAAATTCGATTACATTGTTTTGGGAGAGAAAAAAGAACAAAAAATTGTGTTTTATAACCGATAGTATGTTCATAATCGCAGAGCTACGCGCAACACGCAATAAGAGTCGCCAAATACTTGGTCAGGTACATGGTAAGTCCCATTACACAAAGAAACTGGACTATAAAGACTCACACAGAAAAATTAATTAGATGGAAATACAATATATTAGCAAATGAAATAAGAAACATAGAAGAAGAAACTAATACCCGTTGTAGAAATTAACAGCTGCCCTGACAAAAATAAAAAGTTTCATAAGTATTTGTATAGCGTTTACGTGAGCGTTTGCAGGAGTTCGTTGAGAGTTTAGAAACAGTCAATAGAGAATTTGTAGAGCGGAAATTGCAACGCTGCGGCGTTTAGAAGACGTTTGTATATAGCATTTTTGAATTTAGCTTTGTGGAACTTTTAGTCCCAGTCTACAATAGAGATTTAAGCCCTAAGCCTTAAGAAATTGACTAATCACAGTCGCGCATTCTACTCATACTTGACCGTGATTGGCCAATTTCTTAAAGCTTAGGGCTTAAATCTTCTATTGTAGACTGGGACTTATGAAACGTTATATACAGTATTTTATAAGCGTTCTGAAAGCGTTCAAAACACAACGGCGTTGTGTAAGCATTTTCATAAAGTTTGAAAACGTATGAACTTTAAAAAAAAAACCTTCATTTAACGATTATCAACGCTTCGTAAAGCTTGTTATTTTCGCCAGGGTGTATAAAGAATATGCAGAATCATGGTCGCAGAACAACGTTTGTGATATTGACGGTTCGAAAGTTACAAAGACAATGTAATCGTTACAAGAAAGAGAAGAGCCTACAAAGCTCTTATTGCCCGCTGTGTATTGATCAATTTTTTGTGTTTTCCTATAGAACCTATATTCTTTTTATTTTAAATTATTATAAAAACAGAATTACTTTTCGTGCAGTGAAATTGTACGATTTCAATGATATCTCTTTGCAGGCTTATCTCTTCATCAAGAATTGCAAAGACGAGTGGATAAACACGAATCTGTCCGCCGGTAGAGAATATTGCTGTAAAGATGGCACACCGTATAAATGTTGATTAACGTACACTTGATAGGATAGCATTTTTGTATTATGACTGTAGTTTGTAACTTTGGCAATTCAAACGATTTTTAATAAACGCGTCGACTCAATGCTCACAGTACTTTGAATATCCCACCGCTTGTCTAAATATAGCTTGTAGATCATCAGATACGCTCTACAAAGACACGCAGGAATTCAGCACGAATACCTCAAACCATCCCTCTATATTTAGACTCGGGGGCGAGGATTTTGTGTACACGATGTCAGCGCGGTGTCTGCAATTCGTAAAACATTATCGAGGTGGCCTGTTAAGTAGCGTATCCCTAACCCCCGGTTTAAATTACTAGGTCAAGTTCAAGCCAGAAGCTTCAATCCGACTGCAATGTCAGCTTCAGCCGTGCGGTTGTAAGCGTAAAGATGTGTCATGCTTCGTAGAGGCTGGCAGGGACGTGCGCGCGATTGGAGAGAGCGATACAAGAGATTGGGAAAATGTGCGCCCGAGTCCTCACGTGTCCGCTGTGCTCGCAGCCTGGATTCTTAACGCTCGACGCGCTACGGGCCGGACTTGTGAGCGTAGCGACTCGACCTCTCATATGTCCCGTTTGTAACGAGGTGCTGCTGGGTATAGATAAGTTAACTATACATCTATTTGGTCACACGATCAATCTGAGCAGTGGTACAGCAGAATCGTCCAAGTCTGCGGATGTCGCTGCCGCTGATGGACACTTGGTCACCGCCCACTCGCACAACGTCGCTCCGCAGGACTGGAACACGTTGAAGCAATTGGACAGGACTGTAAGCAACAACAACGGTACTCGCGCAGAGCCGTCGAACGTGGGGGACGGTATCTCTGTCGTCAACTCTCAGTCTAAAGCGCAGGGCCAAAATTCGCCGGTGAGAAGCGCCGGTCAGTCCAGTCTCATATCGGATTATAATCGTGACGTGATAAAAGTGAACATCTTTCCGCTGTCAGACAAGAGCGCAGTCCAGAGAGCCGAGCTGCAACAACTGAAAGCAAATTGCGCGGGGCAATATTTTTGTAGTGACAATATCGAACGCTCGAACGTACCCCAGGAAGCTGTACAGGTGGAAGAAACGGCTACATCGGACCTAATTATTGTGACAAAAGCGGCAGGAACCGTAGACGCCAACGCCTATCGACATATCGGAGAATGCGCTGAACCGAACAGCGATCAATGCGTCATAAAAGAAAGGCTGATGAAAGATTTAATTGAAGAGGAACACCTCCCTGATTTCCAGTCGGTCCAGAATGTAATGGCAAGTGTCTGCGCGGGAGAGTCGCCAGAGGAGCGCGATGGTGAGAAAAACTTGCCCGATGCGAGGAAAACGGACGCCAGGGATGAAGAGAAGAATTTAGAACATGAGCAAACGTTGCTGCACACACAAACGAGCGCCAAGGCCTTCTGCACGATAGCGCCGAAGGAAAAGACGGAGAGATGTAACGTATGCGGCTTCCACTTTCCTGATACCAATATCTTGGCCTTGCACAAACAACTGGTGCACGAGCAGGACCTGAGCGGCAACCTCGAGAGAGTGCCCAAGAATTATTCCTGCCACCTGTGCTCCAAGGTGTTCAAGATGCGGGGCAGCTTAATGGTGCATATGAGAGTGGCGCACGTCGGACATAACTTGGGCAAGTAATCACAAACGGTCGATAATTAATTCAATATAAATAATGCGATTGTTATACAGGGCGTTGAAAAAATGTGGTATCAAATTTTAGGAATACGCAGCACTCGTAACAATGAAGCAAAAAAAGTCTTGGACCCGGTTTCATCGACGTCGCTTAACTTTAAGCCTGGCTTCGGTCGTTCCTTGTCTCTCCCCAACTGTTATTCTGGAAAGAGACAAACGTGAATTAAACTAAGATTAAATTAAGCGACGTTCGGTGAAACCGGGCTTTAATAAACATTATTCCAAAAACCTTTTATTTCTGTACTATAAAGTATTCGATATAATCTTCGTTCGTTTCACAAGTATGCATTATTGTGTAACATGTTTACACGCAACCGCTCGTACACTCACCCTTCACAAGATTTCAAGCTTGACGACGGTACTTGTTGACAGTTTTTCAGTTCAAAACGCATAGTGTACGCTACATCAGTTGACGCATTAGATAAACTAATACGGAAAATTGAAAACTCTTATTCAACAAATACACCTGGAATCTTTGAACGCGTTTTGATCTTTAATGAGAAAGTATGTTGAGCTATGTATTGAAACGAACGGAGAGCACATCGAATGTCCACTGTGCATTAAATTTATTTCTCATTTGTTGCAACAGATAACACTTTATAACTCGGAAATAAAAGATTTTCGAAATAATATTTATTAAGACTTTTCAGTTTGTTTTTACGAGTGCTACATATTCCTAAAAGAACCCCGCACTAATCATATTGAAAATTGGATCTCGGTTAAAGACGGTTGGCTAGTTTTCACATATGTTGTAGCTTATGACCTGCTGAACAAAAAATGTAATGGGCTCAAACTTAAATAATGGCTAGTTACTGAGCTATTAGGAAAAAATGTTTCAGACAAAAGTTGTTTGGTTCGAAGGGAGACATAAGACGATGCCATATTAATTTGACCTTGGATAATCATTTAAAGGTCACATGAAGGTCAATTTCAATTTCTTAAATGGACACCCCGACTTTTCATTGCACATTTTTCTGTCGAGAGTTTTTCAAAGACACTATATAATGAAATATAGTCTTATTTCGAACCAAACAAATATATGTCGAACCAAACAACTTTTGTCCGAAACATTTTTTCCTAATATGCTTCAAAGTATTTCCAAACAAGACTCGCGGAGCTCAAATTTTCCATGTTTGACTGGCTGTAGCTCAGTAACTAGCCACTATTTAAGTTTGACATTATATTTTTTCTTCAGCAGGTCATAAGCTACAAAATATGTGAAAACTAGCCAATTTAACCGAGATCCAATTTCCTATATGATTAGTGCGGGGTTCTTTGGTATCACATTTTTTCAACACCCCGTATATAATAATAATCAAGTATGAGCCTCGATGGATGGTTCGGTAGGAAGAACAGTCGCTTGGCAAGCGAAAGGTCCCAGGTTCGAATTCTATTCCAGTGCTCACTTTTTCTCGCTCATAAGTTACGGTTGCACCAACGTCACATAATTTTACTCAACTCACTCTTTGCCCCTTTCTAATGGAAACAGAAAGAGACGAAGAGTGAATTAAGGTAAAGTTAAGCGACGTTGGTGCAACCGGGTCTTAGTGCTTGTATATTCCCGAGACACTCCTGTATCTCCGTTTAACAATTCGATGTGATTTGTAAACGCAATTTTTCACGCAGGTTCTTTTCCCAGGGACGACCAGACTGATGTCGCGTGCCCAGACGCTGGGTACACGTGCCCCACGTGTGGGAAGAAATTCAAGAAAGTGAGAACACCCACGCGCATTTCCCTCGTAATCACTTGTTGCAAACGGTATCTCGACAACTCACAAGCTTCCCTCCCGCTCTCTGCTTTCAGGAGCAGCACGTGGTGCAGCACTTGAAAACCCACGAGGGCAAGCAATGGGAGTGCGACACCTGCGGTAAGATGTTCACGACCAAGTACTTTCTGAAGAAGCACAAACGACTGCACTCGGGAGAGATGCCGTACAAGTGTAAGATATGCGACAAGAGCTTCACCTTCCAACAATCGTATCACAAGCATAGGCTTTATCACAAAGACGATAAGCCGCACACCTGCGCGACCTGCGGTAGATCGTTCAAAGAGCTCTCCACGCTGCACAATCACGAGAGGATTCACACCGGCGAAAAGCCGTTCGCGTGCGAGACGTGCGGTATGTTTGCGAAGGAACGCACGTTAACGGCGAGCTGACGCAGAATTAATCGTTTTGGGATTGACTAACAGTTAACATTAATCGTCTTGCTTGTTGCTGGCACAATGGCCGACTATAGAATTGTTGTGTAAGAAAGTTTCATTATCCTACACTTGAGGAAGACCGGAATGCTCGGTCGAAACGTTGTGTTAAATAAACAGTTACGTCGAATAATTCTAAACCTTTTTTTTTGTTAATCATCTTGTTTGCGTAGTAACACTATGATGTGCTCTGCATGGCTTGCTGAAAGCAGGTAACTTTCACGAGAAACACCGCCGGGCATCTTGTCTTGTAAATGCGCCGCAGGCCACGACAGTGATGATAATAATCCTCCTACAACTGCCCGTACTAATTCTTCCGCAGGAAAATGTTTCCGCCAGCGTGTTTCGTACTTAGTCCATCGTCGAATTCACACAGGAGTGATGCCTTATAAATGCACAATGTGTGGCAAAAGCTTCCGATACAAGGTACAAAGTGGCGATCGAGTGTCCTCGAGTGTACGTTCCATCCTCTAACAACTCTCACACGCAATTCACGCTTGTAGGTGAGCCAAAGAACGCATAAATGCCCCGTGCAAGCATCAGGCAGAGCCCAGCAATTGATAACAGACGCGCGGGAGGCCGATAACGGAACGGCCGGGGTGCAGGCCGCCGGCGTCCTGCAAGAGAGTCAATCGATGACGAGCACCGCCGACAGCGAGGAAAACAAGTTCGTTTTGATAATAAACGTCCAAGGCCAACCCGTCTTAGCATTGCAATCAGAAATCAATAACATGTCTGCCGAGAGAAAGGAGCCAGGCGTTGAATTCAGAGACGCCGATTCGAAGAGCAAGACATGGGATACCAACAATGCCGGTCGCGCGGCACTCGACGAGTCGGTCGAAAGGGCGCAATCGTGCGACGAAAAGATAGACGCGAAAAGTACCAGCGACTTCTTTTCCATGGTGATGTCGCCCCTGGAAACCGGCATGTCATCCCCGACGTTCGAGATGGAGCACTTGAGGGTGTCGTCGCCTAAGCGCAAGGAGGACTCGCTGGATTCCTACGCCGATTTCCCGCAGGTTTCTGACAACGCACAAATAAACCTAGTAGAGCCGGGCATGGAGCGAGGCTTCGGTCACGGCAAGGACGTCGCTGATTCTCTGCAAACCATAAATGAGGAATCGCTCAAGGAATTGCTGTACGGTATGGATAGAAAATGAAGCAAATGTGTACTTACTGCTCGATAGTACAAATTAACGTTACATTAGCGTCCGTCGTAGACAAATATACGTATAGAGAACATGGATAATTTATTAAAGGTTTAAAATTTGCCATGTGAATGTCGTTGCAATCTTTGTATACCGACCGTGTGGACAAAACGGCATAAACGTACATATATATATATATATATATATATATATAATTTATTAGTTTTGGCAATAATTGAATAGCAGCGATTTAGCAGATGTATCACATTGATTTCTAGAGTTGAAGACTACTGATCTAACAATAAGTGTAAAACAAGTATATAGTGCAAGCGTTTCGGGCAAAAAGTTCAATAGACATTAACTCACCCAGACAAGGTTTTGTGCAACAGCAAAGCAGTGCAATGCAGTTGCTAGCAACTGTTACCGTCGTGATAATGGCGAGAATATTTATTGAATTAAACTCTTGCCTGCATGTTGTCAGCCAAACTGCCGATATACGTTAGCAATAATGTTTGTGGTCAAAATATTTGCAAAGTCGTCACTTTTTATCGCAATTGTTGCCATAAACTTGTACTTCGCTGTCTTTTTGTCTACGATAATGGCAGGAGTATTTATTGAATGAAACTTTTGCTTGCACGTTGTCAGCAAAATATTCGCAAAGTTGTCACAATTTTGCCAAAATCATAAATTTTTTATCGCAGTTGCCGCAAAGTTACTGTAAAGTTGTAGTACTCAGTTTGCGTGCTTTGTTTACTTGCAATGTTGAATTAAACTCGGGCGCAACATTATTTTTGTAAACTGCCGGCAAAATGTTAACTGGGCAGGTAGCGAGCCGACGTAACTCGTCGTCGTAAACGTCATTTCTGGGAAGCTGCAGCTGCGACAGTCTCTCAACATTGGTTGTTCCATTTGTCACGACCTCGGGCTTTGGTCGTTAACTCGATGTGCACACAGCACCGAAAGATTGCAGAAACATTGAATACACCTTTCACTGCAACATTGTAACATTGCATAGAGGTTGCGAAATGTTTCAGCAACGTTGCTGCAAGCTTGAAGCAACATTGAAATGTCCTCCCTGAGATATATTACAATGTAACCGAGGGGGAAACCGCTGACCAAAATCTTGTACACCAATGCCCACTAATGCCCAGTGGGCATTACTTTATCTTATTATCTTCTTTTATCTTATTTATCTTGTTTTATCTTATTTTATCTTATTGTATCTTATCTTATCTTATTTTATCTTTATAATGCCTCAGCAAGACGTAATGCCCCAAAAATGCCCTAGTAATGCCCGGTAATGCCGCATGTACACCACAATGCCCTTAGCGGTTTCCCCCTCGAATGTAACATTGCAACAATGACACGGTACAATGTATTTGTAATATTGATTTTATTATGCGTTATTTATATAAATATACAGGATACTTAAGATTTTAATAAGTTGTTCGGAAAGTTTGTTTTAAATTTCCTGTATATGTATAATACATGGAAAATTTGAAACGAACTTTTCGAACAACCTAATAAATAAAATTTGAGAATGTATACCCATACAGCACAGATGGTTGCAGTTACATTGCAGAAACGTTGCAATCTTGCAGAGACATTGCAGGGATATAAAATTGCAAACTTTCGATAGCAATATTGCAGCAATGTTTGAAAAATAATAAAAATACTATATTTTCTATTTAAAAAATTTTTCTAATTACGAGAATTTTATAATGTTATTTTCGTTGATACCAATAATGCGCGAATTAAGTACTTGATCAGTGCGGTGTTGCTCGCAATCTCCATCTATTGCGAAGCGACATAATCTCCTTAGGTTGCTTCGCAATAGCTTGCTGTGTATTGAAAAAGGCCCGGATGCATATGTAATTAGTAAGTTCTCTGCTTATGTACAACAAATTATTCCAAAAATATTGCACTGCAACATTGCTATAATGTTGCACTGCAATCTCTCTGGGGGCGGACATTTCAACGTTGCTGCAATCCCCCAGAAACGTTGCAGCAATGTTGCGCAACGTTGCTGCAATCTTGCAATGTAACATTTCTGCAATCTTCCCATACAGCACGGAAATATTGCAGCAACGTTGCAGAGACATTGTTTTGAAAGATTGCATCATAGGAGCAAAAGTGCGAAATGTTGCTGCAATATTGCAGCAACATTAGAATGTCCGCCTTCAGCAATATTTCAATGCAACAGTACAGCAATATTACAATGCAACTACACAGCAATATGAAAATGCAAGACTGCAGCAATATTGCAATGTAACAATGTAGCCACCCAAATAGCACAAGGATGTCCTCAGGACGTCCAGGACGGACTTTGCGGATATCCTGAGGACGTCCTGAGGGCATCCCGGGACTTCCTCAGGACATCCTGAGGAATAGCAAACGAGCGCCACTTTTTAGTCCTTAGGACATCTTGAGGATGCTCCGCCGGATGTCCTGAGGAAGTCCCGGGATGTCCTCAGGATATCCGCGAAGTCCGTCCTGGACTTCCTGAGGACGTCCTTGTGCTATTTGGGAAGGACATCTTGTGGTTTTAGTATACCCTGTATAATATTATTGTACCAATGAGTACATTAATATAAGTACTTATAAAACTATTCTGTATGAGATTAATCGAGGAATCCTTACTTCCAATGACATTTATGTTCGATTATATATTATTTTGAGTTTTGTTTATAAAACTTACAAAAATATGAAAACATCTTACTGATGCTCTTATCTTTCATAATTTTAAAATCAGATCTTGCAAAGAAAGAACAGATAAACCGTTAGATTATAATGTAATACAAACATTTTCCTATATGCTATGTGGACGCTTATGGAAGATTTTTATTTACAACAGTATTTAACATTCTAGAATTATTTCTGAAGTTTTATACATAAAACATTTATATAAAATATTTACAGTAATACAACTATGTCCTGAAAAGATCCCAGGACATCCCGGGACATATTCAGGATGATCCTGAGGACGTCCTGTGCTATCTGGGCATAATGCAATAAAATGCAATAAAACGGTGTACGTATGTATACAGGGTGATAGGAAGCAACCCTGGTCCTTGAAAAGATATAATTCTGACGAGATTCTGAGACGATTATTCCTTTTACAAAACTTTATCAAAAATCTAGTTTTTAAATTATAAAAGGCAATAGTTTTCTTATCACGAGTTGAATACAGGACGTAGACAATAGCGACGCAATTTAGTGCGTTATACATAGTCGCTTATATTAGGTGGCTGTCAGTTGTCACGTCTGACGGTTAGTTGCCGCCACAGCCTGTTTTCTGCATTCAACCTGTGATAATAAGATAATTATTTCCTTTCATAATTCAAAAACTATATTTCGGATAAAGTTTTGTAAAAAGAAAAATCGTTTCAGAATCTAGTCAGGATTACGTCTTTTGAAGGACACAGGGTTGTTTCCAATCATCCTACATATATGTAATAAATACACAGGGATGTATTATATTATAAAAAAAGGGTTGAACCTGTATGTTTTAGAATGATTTACGAGTTGCATGTGTTATAGCTATATCATGTGAACTCAGAAAACCCGATTAACGTTGTATGTACGCTGTAAAAAATATTTATACGGTATAATTGCAAGTTAATGTTTTTGTAATACAGTTGCAACATTATAAGAGTGATATTGCACAATATTGTATTTGCAGTGTAGCTGCAATATTGCAGATTTAATATTACGCAATATTGTGTTTGAAATATTGTTGCACCATTGCATCTGCAATATGCAATCTTGCAACGTTGCAGCAATGCTGTTGCAGCTTCTGTGCTGTATGGGATTGTCGGCGAAATATTACAATTTAATGTCTCTGAATCGTCTCTACAATATTACATTGCAATTCGCAATGTTGCAATGTTTCTGAAAGGTTTGGTGCTGTATGGGTAAAGTAGCATTGACATTTTAAATCACGCGTACCCACCGCAAAGCGTCCTTGGGAAATAAACGACACGAGCGAACAAGAAAGCGCCGTTCTACGAGATACGCAGCATGTTCCTCGAAACTTACCTCACGATCGGAAGGTTCTCACAAATTACAACATTACAAAGTCGCGTCGCGACCTAACCTCTCACGCTTTGTTGACACAGCGCCGTTAACGTAGTGGCGAGTACACACGGCGTCGCCGGTGTCGCGCGGTCGCGCCGCGATTGGCGGATCCGCAGGCGCCTCCGCCAATCGCGGCGCGAGACGGCCGGGACGGCGGCGCGCGCAGCTCGCATTCCGGTCGAGATATCGCGTAGCAGACGACGCGCCGCGCGGATCGACTTGACAGCTCATTCTGTATTTTCACGTGTCCCGTCGCGCATCGCGTTGCGTAACTGGAGTCCGACTTCCAGGGAGGAGCTCCTCTTTTGCGGTGAGTAAAGAACGATCGCGTTCGCCACTCGCCACGCTCGGCGGCTTAAGAGCGTCGTTAAGACGGCGTCGCTTTTACCGTCGTCGCCGTCGCGCCGATCGACAGCGGCCACGGCCAGCTGATCGGCTAGATCGTCGCGACGGCAGGCAGACAGTCGGTTTTAACACCGCCACGGGTGGTCGGTCGTTGACGGCTGTTTACCGACGACCAATTGGTGCTGCCGGGCGCGCTTGCCAGCCAATCGCGGCGGGCGGACCGCGCTCGGCAACCTGGGCGCAATCTGTTGCGACACGGAGTGTCCTCGGCTCGCGACGTCGCGTTTTACTGCGACGCGACGAAACGGTAATTGACAACTCGGCGAGTCGTTGCGATCTCGTATCCCACACCCATCCCGGCCGCGACGCAATATCCCGATCGGCTCGAACGCACGTACACGCACGAGCCGATCCCGGACCTTGAAACGCGCGACGCGTCGTCGCAATAAGCGCTTCGCCTTACGGCACGCTTGTAAACGGCAGCAAAGGTACTCTCTCTTTCTCTCTCTCTCTATCTATCTCTTTTTTTTTAATACGCGTGAGGCCGATCGCTGGGAAAAATCGATGGTTTCTCGAGCGCGATTCGAGGAGTTTACGGGCGAGCTCGTTATCTCGGACCTCGTATCGGATGAACGGAGAGGTGCGGACGATACGCGCGCGCCTCTCGTTCCTCCGCTCGGCGTGAAGGCGAACGATGACAGAATCGTTTCGCGCGAACGTCATCAATTTCCGTCGGCGATAACGACGGAGTAAATACATAAACGCGGGTTACATAAACGGCACGCGCGCGCGAGAGAGGTGTGTACGTGAGCATCGCGTGCACCGTTTTTCCTCTTTGCTTCCGTTTCTTTTTTTTCCCACGGGAAGAATTCGATCGATCGAATTGTGCGAGTGGCGTGTTGACGCGGCGCCCGAGAGTTATCTCGGAAAAAGCGGGATTTACGTAAGCCGGCGCTCGGCGACCGACGGCGGACAGGTTTCCCGCTGGCCGCAGTAAAAATAAGGATTTAAAAAATGGCCAGGCAAGATGGCCGTTCGCGCGCCACGCGGTCGCGCCGCAGGAGCGGCAGGCAGTGTCCCCGGATCGAGGGGAGAATCTTGCGCACGCGCCGTGCGCCTCCTCGCGCACGGGGGAGAGGCAACTTTTTGATCGTTTATTCGGTTTGTCTTAAAATTTTCCGGCCCCCTCGACGTGGCCATGTTGGACCGTGACGTCAGCGGCGAGTTAAGTCGCGCAGACTTTTTTCCCTCACGTTGTATGTATGCACGTCACAATAAATTAGTCCCCCGTTCGCGCGGCATAATGTCACTCGCGTTCGATAGTCGTGCTGGGGTGTCCCCCTGCCAGGGGCTCGATCGTGAATCTTTTCCTCTAGCGCGAACTCGTGAAACGTGAAAGATTTCATTGACGAATATTAAGTTCTTCAATGAAATTTTTCACTTTTCGCGAGTTCACGCTGGAGAAAAAGATTTGCGATTGAGCCCCTAGTGGCGCGAGGAATAGGAAGTGGTTGACAATTGAAACGGTAAATAGAACGAGTGGAATGAACAACTAGTAGCACAGTGTATTGGCCGATATTGTCCAACGTAAAGCCAATATTGGCCATGGAGTAAATGTAAATATTGCACGATAATATTTATATAATATTAGATTTATATTGGAAGTGTATTGGTCAGTATTTAACAATGTAATAAGAATATTGATACAATATTAGACCAACATTGCTAAATAAACATATTAGCTAAATGAGAGAAGGCGTCCTTTGGACCAATATTGGGAATACTAGATTTATACATTATTTCCAGGGTTGGAAAAGTTACTTTATAAAAGTATTATATCTAGTTACAGTTACTTAAAAAGTAACGAATCGTTACTTTGCAGTTACTTTCTTGCAATGAAAATAATAATATCAAATCTGCATTTGAATTGTAAAGCGTTGATAAAGGCGTTTGTGTGTAAATGCAAGGCCTCATGCAATCTGTGGAGGTTTAAAAAATATATAAAGTAACTATATATGATTAATTTAGTTACTTAATTATCGAAAACATGTAACTGAGTTAAGTTACTTGTAACGAAGTTACAGTTACAGGTACTTTTTTTGGTAACTCTAACTTAACTTAGTTACTTTCTCTCCATATGTAACTGTAACTTAACTCATAATCAGTTACATTTTGTCGATAACTAGTAACAATTTAATAGTTACTTTATATATATTTTATACCTCCACAGATTGCATCAGGCCTTGCACTTACGCATAAACGCGTTTATTAACGCTTTACAATTCAAATGCAGATTTAATGTTTTTCTTTTCATTGCAAGAAAGTAACGGCAAAGTAACGATTCGTTACTTTTTGAGTAACTGTAAATGTAACGCGTTACTTTTCAAAATTGGTAACTTGTAACTGTAACTAGTTACATTTTTAGCGAAGAAACTGTAACTGTAACTAGATACTTTTGTAACTAGTAGCTAATTTAATAGTTACATTAATAGTTACTTTATATATTTTTTCAACCTCCACAGATCGCATTAAGCCTTGCATTTGCGCATAAACGCCTTTAGGCCCGGTCTACAATGAGTCGTTAGTCGTTAGTCAGAAGTCGCAACTATATGTTGATCCTTTTCCTTTCTGGGTAGAAGAAAAGGACCGACATATAGTTCCGACTTCTGACTAACGACTAACAACTCACTGTAGACCGGGCCTTATCGCCCGCTTTACAAATCAAATGCAGATTCGATATTTTTATTTTTATCGCAAGGGAGTGACTGCAAAGTAACGATTCGTTACTTTTCGAGTAACTGTAACTGTAACGCTGTTACTTTTCAGAATTGGGTAACTTGTAACTGTAACTAGTTACATTGTTAGCGAAAAAACTATAACTAGTTACTTTTTATAAAGTAACTTTTCCAACCATGTTCTCAACCCTCATTATTTCCCAATATTGCGCCAATAGCTGCGCTCGGCATTACGCATCATTCACCTCTCTCGCTCGCACGAACGCAAGGAAGCCCTCCGACGCCTCAGATTTGCAATGCCGAACGCAGCTATTATATCGTGCTACTAGGAAAATGTTTCGTTTTTACGCGATTAAAATTAATGATATATATCCTCTTAACAAGCTCAAATGCAAATGTGTAACATCGCATTGAAGAATAATGATTTCTCTATTTGTATACTTTCTCCGGTAACTTTTGTGTTATCGAGTCGCTTTGTGCATATTGTAAAGTTTTTATTTCTTCGGACAATCACTCGTTCAATTCTCTCAATTTGCAGTAAAAAAATGAGACTTGGTTTGTATTTCACATACATACTCGTTCTTCCTTTTCGCTTGTGCATCAACAGATATCAACACATAACGCAAGACGTAAAGTCAGAAGGAAACGTGGAATCGTATCCGCGTGATTGATCTTGCAATCTTCATTTTTTACTTTTCCCGAAAAGCCTCGCGTGACAATTCTTGTGCTGCATTTTCACCATCTCGTTCACCAGTTCGGAGTCGCTCGATAGATCAGTAAAATAACTCCGACGTTGGTAATTTATTCATTCGTTCTGTCAAATCGATAAACTTTTTTTTTTCGTGTACCGTAACGGTTGGCGCGGCGCGCAATAACTTTTGCGTATCTTTTTCTCGTAAGTTTACCCTCTTGTGGGAACGTCTTTCAACCGTTAGGCTATCAGCGAGATATTTCAAAAAATTCATTGAAAGTCATGCTTAATCTTGATTAAACACCGAGTCCAACTCTTCACGTATCACCAACTCTCTCTCTCTCTCTATCTATCTCTCAAAAAAAGGAGCGAAGAAGAAATTTGTAGGCGCCCCGGCGAGGCGCCCGTAACGCGACGTCCCTGAGACGGCGAGAGTAGCCGCGATTGGCGCGGGCGATCGGGCGCCACGTGGTAGGGGGTGCACACGTCGCCCGCGGATCGCACGCTCGCGATAGTTTTCCGAACGCGGCGCGGACGGCTCTCTCGGGCTTCCGCTGACTTGTCGCGCGCGTGTGCGTGTGCGTGCTGCTGCCTGCCGTCGCGTCTCTCTCTCGCCTCGCCGCGCGCCACCGCTGGCGTGTGTGACATTGGCGACGGGGGCGGAGCGTGCCGCGGCCACCCGGTCCTGGCCAACCCGCGGCTCTCGGCCGCCGACATTCCGTCGACTCGCTCGCGGTGCGCATCTACGGAGGCCCGATCGCTCTCGGCGTGTCGTCTCTTCTCGTCGCGCGACGATCGACTGAGCGCTCGTGTGCGCGCGTGTGTGTGTGTGTGTGTGTGTGTGTTGCGTGTGTGTGTTGCGTGCGTTCTGCCCGCACTCTAGCGCGGTCCTCCTTGTGCGCCGTGGCGCGGACGCGGTGGCCACGAACGCTCTCGCTTCTCGCTCGGCTACGCGCCGAGCTCTCAGTGCTGTCCCCGCGCGCGTGCATGTGCGCGCGCGACGTCTGTGTGCAGAGCGACAGAACGAAGGGAACTTGTCTCGTCTCGCCTGATCTCGTCTCGTCGCGCGTCGCCTCGCGCTTTGCCAGGCCGTGAGGGAGCCGAGCTAGAGGATCTCGAGACGTCGTCATCGTCGTCGTCGTCGTCGCGATGCCCTGGGCGTGTTTCTCCCGCATTCAGGTAAAAAGGCACCGCGAACACCTCCTTCGCAGCACTGTTTTCGGACGGAGCTGCTCGACGAGAGAGAGAGAGAGAGAGAGAGAGAGAGAGGGAGAGCGAGCGAGAGATCGCAGGCATCGCAGCGCGAGGAGCGCGTGGGGTGGCCGAGGTGTGGGCGGGGAGGGGGAGGGAAGAGCCAAGAGTTACGGACAAGGGCGAAGTAGAGAGGGCGGTGGGGTGGGGGGAGGGCCTCTCTTTTTCGGAGGATTTCAACCTGAGGTCACGCGCATCGTCGAAGCGAGTGAGCGAGCTAGAGAGAGAGAGAGAGAGAGAGGTGAGCGCGCGCGGCTTCGAGCGGGACGAGGAAGAGCGGAAACCCGTCCTCCATTACTCGATCGCGAGAGAGAGCAAATGGTGGGCTCCCGCGAGTCTCTTTGTTGCGTTACGAGCACGAGGACGAACCCCTCGCTCGCGCGCAGCCTCTCGTCACCGCCGTCGCTGTCTCCGACCCGCGTCTTTGTCGCGACTGAGTAATCCGTCAGGCTCGTCGCCGCTCGGAGAAGGGGAAGGGGTTCCCCTCCCCCCCTCCCCTCCCCGCGATGTCAACGGCACAACTTCGCGTCAGCCAGTGATATCGGACGTACGGACGGACGGACGGACAGACGGACCGACCGGACCAGACCAAACCAGACCAGTCAGTCGGGCCAGCTTAGCCAATCAGTTAGCGAAGGGGCAGCAGGAGCGAGCCATCGAGCGAGCGAGCCAGCGGAGCAGTAGCAGTAGCAGTCGTAGCGTTTGTTATGATTCTCGGTTCGTTACTATCTTCCTCGCTGCCGCGTGGGGGGAAGCGTTAATTGCGTATCGCGCCCCGCGGCCGTTTTTATTTAGTCACGCTCTTGTTATTCGAGCGCATATGGCTCGCGCCGAGGTACCGATTCTCTTTATCTCTCTCTCCCTCCCCCCCTCTCTCTTTCTCTCTCTCTGCCCTCTTATTTCCCTCTTTTTCCTGGAAATCGCACCGTCGATATCGCCGCCCGCTCACTGCGTGGCGTTGCAGCGGACGCCAGAGGCGAGAAATCGGCGGGGGAGGAGTCGCTCTTAATGGGCCACGGGGCATTTAAATCCCTTTGTGCGCTCGTTTATGCCCAGCGACACCCGATCGTGAACGGCCAGCCTCGCGTCGATCCGTCCGTCCGTCCGTCCGTCCGTCCGTCCGCCCGCCCGTCCGTCCGTCCGCCCGCCCGTCCGTCCACCTGCCTGCCTGCCTGCCTGCCTGCTTGCCCGTGTTGCGCGCGACACTCCGCTGGATTTCGGGCGCGAGCGATGTAATCGAGAGTGAATGCTCGCGAACGCAACAGCGTTTGCCCGTTGATGTTTTCCTCGGGCCGCGGGACGGGCGGCGACGCGCCGATTCGCGTGTCCGAGCCTCTTCCCCCCGGCAGCAGCGCCCCAGCACTCCACCATTGTGTGTCGCTTTCGTTCTTACGCGTGTCGTGCCCGCGCCGTATAAACGCGAGAGTGTTGACGCGAGTGAGCGAGTAACGACCCGGGCGCTCGCCCGAGAAATTGGACGTTCGATCGTCGACGTTCCATTTCGTCCGCGCGAATTATTTCATCGCTCGCGCGTGCAAGCGTCGGATCTGTCGAGACTCCCGAGAGATTCTCTCGCCCAAGGTTGTCCCATCCTCTTGGACTTTGTATCTCTCTCTCTCTTTTTTTTTCTTTACGTTCTCGCAAGTAAAACCGTCGTTATCCCCGAGCGCCGAGATTGCAGTCGCGCGTAAATACAGACGGCGCTTGGTTATGGCCGGGTGACTAAACGGCACGTATGTTCTCTCTTGCAGACAGAATAGTGGCATGAGTCGATTAATCTATGGCAGATCAACAAGATCAGTCGTCATCAGGGGGGTCTGTAGAGAAGGCCAGTGCTTCAGCAGACACCTCTAAACTCAGGGGGAAGGGCTCCAGCGGCGGCACGGGCGGCTACAGAAAGCGACAGAGTACTGGTGCGATCCCGGACAGCGTGGAAGAGAAGAGGCGCAGGCAGACCGCCGGTGATCCACAGACGTCCCAGGTCGACGGCGGCGCGGCGCATTCGGCCGATTCTACCAAAGGGGAGGGCAGAATCCGGGGCGAGCGTAGAAGTCATGGAGCTGGCTTAGAATCTTACCCAGGTGACTGGCGCTTCTGCGTGACGTTGTACTATATCATCGCGCGATCTTTACCGAGCAGTAAAACTTGAGACTTAAGGGGAAATGACCGATCGAGAACGCAAGCAGCCATTTTGAGACTTGAGCAGTGCTGAAAATTTCGATTGGTTGAAATTCTTAAGTCTAAAGCCTTGAGTTCACGATCCAAGAACTGTGTCCAAGTTCTAGTTTCGAGAAATCTGTAGCCAATCAACGTGCAGCTATTCCATAAAAGCTGCGAGTTGATTGGCCACACGTTTCTCGAAACTAGAACTTGGACCACGTTCTAGCATCGTCGACATTGGCCTTGAGTTCCTTTTCGGGCCTTGAAGCCTTGTGTCCACAATGCTAGAACCTGGACGCAAGGCTTAACGCCCGTTTTCGCCAACGTCGTCTAAGCTTGATTTTAAGGCCTGCGTCCACGGTGCGAGAACGGGGTCCGAGTTGTAATTCTGAGAAACGTGTCGCCGATCAGCTTGCAGCTTTTTTGGAATAACTGCAAGTTGATTGGCTACACATTTCTTTAAACTGAAACTTGGACACAGTTCTTGGATCGTGGTCACGAGGCTTAACGCCCGTTTTCGCCAACGTCGTTTAACTTTGATCTTAAGGTCCAAGTTCTAGTCATCGTGGACACAAGCCTTCAGTTCAATTTATTCTTTGTCTCCTTAGAAAAAGGGATTTATTTAATAAAAACAATTTAATTAGATTGATTTAATGATTGGTGAAAATGGAGATAAATGGACCTGCCTACTCGAGCCCTTTGCGTTGCACTTTGATCTCTCTTTGCAAAGTTTTGCTCTCCCACTCATCAGTAAACTGACACTTGATTGAATTGCGCAACGTTATTAAGAGAAACCTGTGTTTCCACGATAGAAACCGACTGGAGGTCGCATCATAAGATTCATCAAGCCAGCTATAGCAGCAGTAGCGGCGCGAGGGTGCGCAGCGCAGCGAGGACGAGCTTGCCAGAGTTGAATCCAACACCTGCCGATTGCGTGGCATCGCGGACCCGTTCCCGTACGCCACAGAATCCACAGGCTTTGACACAGACAAGCGGCAGCTACGATCTGTCGCTGCCCGGCGGATACGGCGGCCGGAAGACGAGCAGCTATAGCGGTTTGCTGGCTTCATCGAGTGCGACGTCGATCACTAGTCATCCATCCACGTCCCGAGGAAGAGGAGGTCAGTGCACATCTTTCTAGCCGTTGTTGCCGATGTTGCAGGACGTGATGTGTGATTTGCGTCAGGATACAATTTTGTTTCAAGATTGCTCACGTTAACTGGGGCTCGTGTCCACGATGCTAGATACTTGGTCCAAGCTCTAGTTCCGAGAAACGAGCCAATCAACCTGCAGCATCTATGGGATAGCTGCAAGTTAAGTGGCTACGCATTTCTCGAAACTAGAACTTGGGCCAAGTCCTAGCATCGTGGACACAGTGGCCTTAAACACCTGCGATGATTCTTTCCACCGATTACGAGATCTCTAAATCGGAAACGAGCACGAAGATTTATCCTTACACTTGTTTTCTCTCTTTCAAGTTGTCGGACATTAGCGATAAAGTTACGATCTTACAGATAGCTTCGTGAATTTACATTAACACAGTGAATATTTTTCATCTTGCATTAAGAGATTTGGACACGCGGGAAGGGAGCGGAATTAATAAATTGTACCAGTAATTTGTGACAAAATTTTGACTAACGGGAGAGGCTCTTCCAAAATTTTTAGTCACTACCCACACAGCACAGAAAGATCGCAGGAAGATTGCAGAAATGTTACATTGCAAGATTGCAATATTGCGCGACATTGCTGCAACGTTGAAATGTCCGCCCTCAGAGAGATTGCAGTGCAATATTTCTGGAATAATTTGTTGTTGTTGTACATAAGCAGAGAATTTACTAATTACATATACATCCGGGCCTTTTTCAATACACAGCAAGCTGTTGCGAAGCAACCTAAGGAGATTATGTCGCTTCGCAATAGATGGAGATTGCGAGCAACACCGCACTGATCAAGTACTTAATAATTCGCGCATTATTGGTGTCAACGAAAATAACATTATAAAATTCTCGTAATTAGAAAAATGTTTTAAATAGAAAATATAGTATTTTTATTATTTTTCCAACATTGCTGCAACATTGCTATCGAAAGTTTGCAATTTTATATCCCCGCAATGTCTCTGCAAGATTGCACTGCAATCTGCAAGATTGCAACGTTTCTGCAATGTAACTGCAACCATCTGTGCTGTATCCCACACAGCACAGAAAGATTGCAGGAAGATTGCAGAAATGTTACATTGCAAGATTGCAATGTTGCGCAACATTGCTGCAACGTTGAAATGTCCGCGCTCAGAGAGATTGCAGTGCAACATTATAGCAATGTTGCAATGCAATATTTTTGGAATAATTTGTTGTTGTACATAAGCAGAGAATTTACTAATTACATATACATCCGGGCCTTTTTTAATACACAGCCAAGCTATTACGAAGCAACCTAAGGAGATTATGTCGCTTTGCAATAGATGGAGATTGCGAGCAACACCGCACTGATCAAGTACTTAATAATTCGCGCATTATTGGTATCAACGAAAATAACATTATAAAATTCTCGTAATTAGAAAAACTTTTTAAATAGAAAATAGGTGTAGTATTTTTATTATTTTTCAAACATTGCTGCAACATCGCTATCGAAAGTTTGCAATTTTATATCCCTGCAATGTCTCTGCAAGATTGCAACGTTTCTGCAATGTAACTGCAACCATCTGTGCTGTATGGGTACAGTAGTTGCACCAAGTTGCGCTTTTAGTTGAAAAGAACGCGTGTAATTTCTGTAGCTCCGATTATTTTCTAGCGAAAGGGAGAACAAAAATTTGATTCTCCAGCGTGATTTCCTTAACAATGCATATGGAGAGAAGAAGAAAGAGCAAATTGTATAGCTGGGTGCCACGTTAGCTTACATAAATCCAGAACAAAAAGCTCTTTATGACACGCGTATCTCTCAGTATATTTACACATGTACACACCCGTTATGTCTCTACTTGTGTAACATTTGTGCTAATCTGCTGGCAGACTTGGAAATACTTTTTCGGTTTTGCTAAAACACGCGGTACGGAAGTGCACACGATGCAGAGCCTGCGCGTTTCATTACGAGTATCTCTATCTAGTGTCACGAGTACAATGGCGAAGTGCCGTTTGTTAATACGTGTGTAAATGAAAGGGAGTGTGATTCGGTCGCGAGGAGAGTGTGAAAATGTATCGAGATAGGAATATAATAAAATTTAGAAAACGCAAGTGTATTATCAAGATAAGAGTCATAGATCAGACTGTATCATTAGGCCAGAGGATGAGCGAATGTCTGGAAGGATTTGTGTCTGCTGTCAAAGCACTTTTTCCAATATCAACACAAACCTACCATCAAGAAGGTAAGCTCAAGGAGTACACACTCTTCGTACCACATTTTCTTCCCCTTATTTTCTCTTGCAAACTTGCGCGTAGCTTGAACGAACATCCGTGCCATTCAACTCCATTCCGAACTTATTCTCTATACATCCATGTGCAAGTATCACCATTTGCTACACTTGATATCAGGTGAACCTCTGCGTCAAGTTCATTCATGCATGGTATTAATTATGTAAATATATCTAGGGGGAGATACTCTCCGACTTTCTTTTAACGACACTCGAGCTCCGTTGAATCTGACAAACGAACGTGATATTTCGAAACGCATCGTTAATATTAACACTTTACGTCATGACATTAAATTTAAATTTTTTTGTGGCATAATAAGATACGTTGGTAATCTGTATTGGTATAATTCAGGGTTGGAAAGTAACTCGTTACTTGTAACGAAGTTACAGTTACAGTTCCTCTTTTTTTGGTAGCTCTAACTTAATTTCGTTACTTTCTCTCCACCTGTAACTGTAGCTTAACTCATTGTCAGTTACATTTTTTCGATAACTAGTAACTAATTTGATAGTTACATTAAGAGTTACTTTATATGTATTTTAAACCTCCACAGATCGCATTAGGCCTTGCATCTGCATATAAACGCTTTTATCAACACTTAATAATTCAAACACAGATATGATATTTTTATTTTCATTGCAAGAAAGTAACTGCAAAGTAACGATTCGTTACTTTTTGAGTGACTATAACTGTAACGCGTTACTTTTTAGAATTGGTAACTTGCAACTGTAACTAATTGCATTTTTAGCGAAAAAACTGTAACTGTAACTGGATACTTTTATAAAGTAACTTTCCCAACCCTGGTGTAATTGGATTGGACAAAAAAAGCAGAATTTTTTTATTATAATACAAAGAAGAACAGTTTATATCTTATATTTAGAACAATATCGTGCTGAAAGTTTATGAACTGTTTGCAAACATTTTCGTAAAGTTATCTAGCATACATCATGCTATTACATGTACACAGAACGATCTTTATAATTTAATTATTATGTAAGTGATTAATAAATAATTCATTATAAAAAGATTGTCATATTAAAATATTGTAAAAGTTACGTTGGCATCGAAACTACAGGTATTACATTGAAGTTTTTAGTTTACTTGTTACGCTTTTAATTCAAAGTGCTTTTTTTTTATACAATTGAAATCATGCACGTAATATTATTTAACTTCAATAATGTGTTGTAATTTTATTATACGATATAAGTTGACGAAAGCGAATATTTTTATTAGCGTTAGGGTATTTAAGAGATAGAGTTTCAGTTGATTTCTTCATAACTTCAATTTGATTCTACGACAGTTTTCTCAAGGTTAACAAAAGAATTGTGAAACAAATATTCGGAATAACGTCTTACGCCATTTAAGAATAATATAAATGATCGTAATGAATGTCCCAAAATTTTAAGTCCTTGTTGAAATTGTCCCCCCCCCCCCCTATAAACTTCTTATCGCGAGCCACTTATTTTTTAGATACTGCATTAAAATTGGTAATCCTGTGGAGAAATAATTTTTTTGTTGAATTCTTTACATTATTATAAAGCTAAACCGATCTCTCTCTCTCTCTCTCTCTCTCACAACTTGATAAAAATGATTAAGTATAGTTAATAGATAAGCATACAAATGTAATCATTAGAGTATATTATTTTTGGAAGTACCGTTATTTTGAAACTTGCATACCTTATAGCATCTCTCTAAGAAATCTTACAAGTTGATATTCCTTTAATTAGAAATATTTATAGTAATGCACTCTTTTAAGAGGAAACTTTTACCTTGTACGAGAAACGGAAAAACTTTTCTTGCGTAGCAATACTTATCAGATATCATTTGTAATCATTAATCTTCTCTTTTGTACCTGCTAAGAAACTGGCCGTTAGCGTTTGGCGTTAATGTGAAGCGTATAATGATTGTTTACCTCGTTATATTTTGTATGACAAGAATTATTTATTAACACAGTACACGGAGAGAATTTTCTCTTATAAAATTTACCCTGAAAATCGTGTAATCGTGGGACAACATGGCATTTTGAAGGACCTTATGAGAGTTTTGTGAAATTTTACCATACATTTACCATACACTCGTAAAAGTCTCCGAAGTGCCGCGTTGTCCCACGATTACAGGATTTTCAGGATAAATTTTAAGAGAAAATTCTCTCCGCGTATATGCCGAGCTTCATTGTGCTTACAAATTTTTCAATAGATTGGTCACATCTCTTTTCATAAAGTCCTTAAATTAGTATACAAAAGATTCCAGACGTCGCATGTTGCAGCAGTTAACAGTAAAAATATCAAATACCAAAATCCTTTTATTTAATAATTAAATCTTCACAATTTTCGCAATTATTCGAGAAAAAGTCCCTATTTTAAATACGTCTAACAGTTTTGATGGTTTTCATCTTGCAAACTTGACCGTACACCGAGTAATTTCAGCCAAATGGAGCTCGTCAAATCTCCGATCTGCTGTCTCCAAAATTGAAAGGATAGATTCGGTACATTTTCTTCGTACCTGCTCCAACAGCCATAATGCGAGTCTTGAGATTTGTGGGAATATACGAGGGTGAGTCAAAAATTATCCGCACTTTTCGTTCTACAATTTATTTACACAAAAATAGGGGTTCAATATGCACGTCATTTTTCAACATAGTCTCCTTCCTTGGCAATGTACTTGGTCCAGCAGTGCACAAGCTTGCGTATACCTTCCGAGAAGAAGGTTTTCGGTTGGTCGCAAAGCCACTTTTGCACCGCTTCCTGCACGTCTACATCTGTAGAAATTTGACGACCTCGCAAAGCATCCTTGAGCGGCCGAAACAGATGAAAGTCGGAGGGAGCAAGATCTGGGCTTGCAGGAAGCGGTGCAAAAGTGGCTTTCTTCTTGGAAGAAATACACCTTCTTCTTTGGAAGCAATACGCTTGTGGACCGCTGGACCAAGTGCATTGCCAAGGGAGGAGACTATGTTGAACAATGACGTACATATTGAACCTCTATCTTTGTGTAAATAAATTGTAGAACGAAAAGTGCGGATAATTTTTGACTCACCCTCGTAATTGACCCATCATGTCCTCTTAGGGAAGAAACGCACAGATTGTTATCGGGAAATTCAATTAATCATCGAACCTACTATTGCATAGTATTTTTTCTACCTGATGGCAGAAATAAAGATCTTTTTCGCTCAGATAGAATGAAACGAGTTTTCTCCTAACGCTCGGTATAACGTTGACCGTAAGTTGAAAACTGCCAGAACGAGATTTACTTAAAATAGGTGTATTATCTTTGCGAATAACGTATTCATATTTTATACGCTGCAGCTATCGATGCTGCGGCATTTGGAAGATACATCTCGTCCCAGTATCGCGATTTTTAATCCGCTTTAGAGGAAAATGTGCGACATTGAATGCTAAAATCGCACGGCGCTAACTAGGAAAATGTTTGCGAGTTAATGTTATAGAGGAAAGTTCCCTATCACGAGATAAGCTCCTAATTATGAGATAGCAGGGGTTTTGCTAAATTAATGGGCGTCATCTATTGGATTGATCGTTAATTTTTCTATTGCCCTTGGAGTGAAATCTGCTTAGTGGAAAATTCATTGGTAGATCGTGTAAACGTTGTGAATAAAGATTTGTGATTAAATTTTGATGTTAAAAGTCTGCTATCTCATATTATAACCCTATCTCATAATAGGGGAGACACATAGGGTGGACCATTTTAATCCATCCAGTCGAATATCTCGAAAACCAAGCACGGGAGAGAAAAATGTTTCAGGCAAAAGTTGTATGGTTTCGAGGGGGACATAAGATGGTACCATTGGTTTGACCTTGAAGAATTATTTGAAGGTCACACCAATTTTTTTAAATGGCATCCCCTATTTTTTATGACATATTCTTGTAGCTGACCTCGAGAGCTTTCCAAAACGCTATAATATAAAGTATTTTTTTTATTAAGAACTTTTTGAGTTATTAAGGTTTAAAAGTTCCAATATTTTGACATAAATTACAAAATATCTTGTAAAATATTCATTTTTTTATCATCTTACCTTAATACCTATTAAGAATATTCTTAAAGTCGCCAGCAGTAATTATAAATTAATAACATCGGTGATTTTTGTCGACCGTGTCTGGCAATTAAAATTCTTATTGCGAAAAATATTACCCCAGCCAGGATTCGAACCTGGGACCTCCCTACAATCCGTGACGGGCGTCTTAGCCAGCTCGACCACCGGGGCTGTGATAATACTATTCGCAATAACGTGTATATAACTTTAAGATGTTGTTTACGCGTCTATTTCGACTTTTTCAGAAATCTGTGCGTCGATACGGATACCTTAATACTTTTTTTAACAGAATAATGAGACAAATCAACCGGTGTAAAGAAAACACACAATTTTGTAACAAGTAATAAAAAAATTTTTTTTTAACAATTGTGTTTTCTTTACACCGGTTGATTTGTCTCATTATTCTGTTCAAAAAAGTATTAAGGTAAGATGATAAAAAATGAATATTTTACAAGATATTTTGTAATTTATGTCAAAATATTGGAACTTTCAAACCTTAATAACTCAAAAAGTTCTTAATAAAAAAATACTTTATTAAGGCGTTTTGGAAAGCTCTCGAGGTCAGCTACAAGAATATGTAATAAAAAATAGGGGACGCCATTAACAAAAATTGGTGTGACCTTTATGTGACCTTCAAATAATTCTTCAAGGTCAAAACAATGGTACCATCTTATGGCCCCCTCGAAACCAAACAACTTTTGTATAAAACGTTTTTTATTATTTCGCTTACCGGTCGAGTTATTCTCCATTAAAGGTTAAAATGGTCCACCCTGTATACAGGGTGTACTAAAACCACTGGAGGTCCTCTTAATGACAGATTCCTTAGAACATTTTCAGACGAAAATCCTAATACAAAAGTGTCGAGGCTATAATAGTTTTTAAATTAGAAGCGATTTTTTTCCACAAATGATAGGACTGAAATTTCGCGTGCTCAGGCACGGCGAAATGACAAGTGATATTGTAAATTTATACAATAAACATAACATCATAAAAAGAGCGATATTCATAGGAGCACTTATATCACTTGTCATTTCGCCGTGCTTGAGCGCGCGAAATTTCAGCCCTATCGTTTGTGGAAAATAATCGGTTCTAATTTAAAAACTATTATAGTCTCGACACTTTTGTATTAGGATTTTCGTCTGGAAATGTTCTAAGGAATCTGTCATTAAGAGGACCTCCGGTGGTTTTAGTA